CCCCAGTGATGCTGATGCTGCAAGTCTCTAGAAGATGCTTGAAGAGCAGGTGCTGACAGACAGGAAATAGTGACACAAAACAAGGTACACTAGAGTTAAAAACCAAAGGGGAGTGGCATACTGCAGAACTACCTATAAGCCAGGGCAGTTTACTGAGAGTTATTCTAACTAATGCCTTGCAAATAGGGTCCAGAGGAGTATCTTTATTTAGAACAGCAAAATGGAGAAAAGTACAAAGACAAAGGCAAAATCGGGCTGCCTTTTTGCTCCTGTTTCTGATGTAAAACACCTAAGAAGCCTTGTCAATTGTCTGGGGTAGAAATCCTTTGGTGCTTCTTTGCTGCTCAGACTGTTGAGAGCTATTTGCCCAACCCTACAAACCACCCAGGTTTGTCCATTCTTTCTGGTTCCAGCCGGTCTGGACATAAAAGGCCTCTCAAATCTTTCTGATCTCACCCAGGGGGCAGACAGGGAAATTAGGTTTAGTGGGGGCTAGCCCAGAACTTGCTTTCAGCAGAGAGGGAGAGCTTTCAGGGTCGGCTGGCTTTACAGAATCATCTTATATGGAAATAACAGCAGTTTATCAAAAGGTAGAAGAATGCCTCTGCTAATTCTGGGATATGACACGATGCATGAAGTTGGAAAGAGATTTGAGACTGACAGACTGGATGGTAATTTTCCAGGGGAGATGTGGTCCAAGAATGTTAAGGAAAGAACAAGTGTATGTCTGGCTTCTACTGAGTGGGCCACAATCATGGGAAATGAGCAAAAGGAGGCTGACTTGCTTATCACGAAAGAAAAACGAGCTGCCACTTCTTGGAATGAGAGTAATCCTTAAGCGCTGGGTGAAGGCTAACAAAGGCTGATGTATCTAGAATCCCTCAGGGTTGCCACAATGAAGACGAGGATCTTGCACATTAAGGACAACAAAGGAAGAATGAATGACCTCTGAGGAGAGTTGAAGTGGTCCTTAAATATTATCAGAACAAAACGGGAGGATGACTTAAGACTATCCTTCAGTTTCTACTGACTCAGGAGCCCATGTCCTTGAACTTCTGAGTTTGCTCTAAGGAGCTAGAAGAGCTGGGCGCATGCCAGGCCATGTGACCTTAGACAAGGCTTCCAGATTTCCTGCACCTCGGTTTCTCTACCCAGAAAACCAGATCATTTTTGTCCACAGACTTATTTTAAAAAGCAAAATTTACCAGGGTTATGGGACCAGGGGTGGGGGGTATCATTAGCACCACAGAGGACTCACGTGACTGAAGAAGCCGCCCTCTGAAGAATGAGTGGAAAGCAGGGGGAGCGGGTAAGTGTTGCCGGTGGAGAATTTCAGTGTGAGCACTGCCTTTACGGTGTGCATGTCTGGCAGCTGGAAAAGTGGCTGTGGGCTTCCTCACTGGTGGAATCGTGAAGCTGGGATCCATGTGCACCTGGGCAGGTGGGGCTTGGAGTCCAAATCATCAAGTGGAAGACAGACTTGATATGAAGACTATCACAACTCCATGAAGGTTAATATGTCACGATCCCCATCAGATTTCCATATTCCTTTCATGGTTCATTCCTTCAGGAGGGAGACTGCAGGTGGCCAAAAAGACACCCTGATTTTGGTGGTATAGACCCCGTGACTGAGGTGTATGACCTCAGGGAATATACTTCATGCATTTAGTTAGTCAGTGAAAACTTACTAAGAGCCAGCTCTTAGTAAGGATGTTCTTACATGGGATGTTCTCGATCCTGTGGATAATAACAGCAAGCATTTGCACAACATTTACTATGTGCTAGCATTATCCCAGAGGCTTCGCATATGTTAGGGTACTTGATCCTCACTACCACCCATAAAGTAGGGCTTACTTTCATCTGCAGTTTGCATTAGGCACTGAGAGGTTAAATATCTTGCTCAGGGTCACATAGCTAGCAGGCTGAGTCAGGACGTGAACACAGTCGGGCTGGCCCCAGAGTCCATGCTCTTCCCCACCCAGTGGAGATGATGACAACGACAGGGGAGATCCCTGTCCTCATGCCTCCTGCTGTCTTGCAAAAGAGGGAGAAAACAGACAAGGCCACAAGTAATGTCATAGTAGGTACTGATAAGTGCTGTCAGGAAAACTAAGGCAGGGCAGGGGAGAGACAGTGAGTCTGTTTTATACGGTGTGATCCCAGGGGGCCCCTATGGGAAGATGAAATCTGAGCACAGGCCTGGATGGAAGGGGAAGGGAGCTACAGGAACGTCTGGAGGGACTCCTCCAGGTAGGGGGTGCACAGGCATTGAGATGGGAGCAAGTTCATGGAAATAGGGAGAGTGAGGGAGAGGAGAGCAATGGAGGGCCTCTGGGGACCTCAGATGGGCTTCAGGTTTTATGTTAGGGTGTCATGAAGCAAGAGCCTGGAAGGGGTTGAGCGGGGCAGTGGCCCAATCTTTCTTTTGAAAAAGATCACTGTGATGGTGGTGTGTGGAAAACAGACCGTGTGTGGGGTGCAGTGGTAGTGGGGGCACCCGGAGGACAGGTCAGAAGGCTACTACAGCAGCCAGTTACAGAGGACAGTGTGCAAAAATACAGACTCTCCACCTCACCAAAGGCTGTTAGTCCAAAGGCACCTTATGCCAGCTTGCAGCCAGATGGCTTGGGGGGCCACTACGCCTTATACCCTAACTACGGTAAAGGCTGCATGTGGATTCAGGAAGAGTCTTGACATGAAAGGGAAGTGAGTAGAAACTTCCTAGCTGCTGCTGCCTAACTGGTTCTCTGAAGGGATGAGAACGCTTTCATCCCTGAGGTGGTGACAGCATGCTGTTCTGCAAGGTCGCCGTGGAAGCCCTGGCCCCGCAGTGTGTATTCTCCATCAGGAAGGTGCAGTGGACAGGCTGCCCTGGGGAGGGCGCCCTTGCCCTGCACATGCCACTGCTCCAGTGAGTCTGTCCTGGGGGGAGGGGGAATCACTGGGATGTCAGATGAGGGCCAGTTTAGTCTTTTGTTTTTGTTTTTTGTTGAAAGGGTGGTTTGAGCATTTCAAACCAAGAAGTGACACAGACAATTAGATATAGCAGGAGAAATGATGGCACAGATTATTTACAATCCCTCTTTTCTAAGCAGTTTATACTCTGTATAATTTTACGCTAAAGATAAAACCTGCCTGTTTTGCCAACCTCTACACACAGAAAGTGCCAAAGAACAAAATCTTTCTGCGTTTATGCAAAATAAGAACTCAGCTGCTTGTTCTATGCTCCACTGCTAAAGGATCTCATAAAATTCAACCACTGGTGACTGGAAATGCCATTGTTCTAGAGTTTTCAAAATGTTTACTCACGTAAATGCCACTCTCAAAATACATATAAATGTACAGATCAGTTTCTTTTCTGAGTACCCTACTATCCTCTGGCTTTAGAGATCATTTCCCAGGACTGTCTGAGTGTGGCAGTTATTCTATTACTAAATAGCTGTAGAACTCAAGGGTGGTTATGGGAATCCAAAATGCTATTCTAGAAAGAACTGTTATATTATGTAGGCAATATAACAAGACCTTTAATCTTGACATAAATTGCAAATTATAGTTTCAAATATTGCTTCTTTTTTGAATTCTGTTTAGAGTCAAGCATTAAGAAGGGTCAGGGAAAGATTATTATCTAATTTAATATCAGCCAAGCTGGCATCTCCTGATGATGCTAAAGAAGCCCTCGCAAAACAGTACAGCATAACTTACAGAAATGGTAAAGGGTTTCCCCCTCCACACTTTATAAACAAATTTCCTGCAAGTAAAAGAGAAACACGAATGGAAGCAGAAATAGAGTTTATTGCGTGATTGCTGCTAAGTCCAAGAAAAACAGTGAAAAGGGTGTTTTTTAGAGAGCAAGAAAACCCATCCGTGGACAGTGACTTCAACCTCTGACGTTCTAATTACTCTTGGAGATGTTATCAGACCGCCCAGGAGATCAAGCTGCTGCACAAGCTCCACCCACCTCACCAGATGAGAAAAGCCCCGCCCACCTCACGAGAATGAGAGAAGCCCCGCCCGCCTCAGGATAATGAGAGAAGCCCCGCCCACCTCACGAGAATGAGAGAAGCCCCGCCCGCCTCACGAGAATGAGAGAAGCCCCGCCCGCCTCACGAGAATGAGAGAAGCCCCGCCCGCCTCACGAGGATGAGAGAAGCCCCGCCCACCTCACGAGGATGAGAGAAGCCCCGCCCGCCTCACGAGGATGAGAAGCCCCGCCCACCTCACGAGGATGAGAGAAGCCCCGCCCGCCTCACGAGGATGAGAAGCCCCGCCCGCCTCACGAGAATGAGAGAAGCCCCGCCCACCTCACGAGGATGAGAGAAGCCCCGCCCGCCTCACGAGAATGAGAGAAGCTCCGCCCACCTCACGAGGATGAGAGAAGCCCCGCCCGCCTCACGAGAATGAGAGAAGCTCCGCCCGCCTTCACGAGAATGAGAGAAGGAAGCACAAAGTGATCCTTGGCACTTTCACGAAATGAAAACACACCCTCCAGGGTCCTTTATAGGGTCAGCACCCAAGCAGCTGACTTTACACCATCTGCACCTGCAGATGCACCTCCCATGTGGCAACGTAATTCAGGTTCACCACCCACGATGGTGTCTTCAAGAAAAGGGCCACGTTCTGTTTATCCTGAATTGTGATTAAAAATACTAGGAAAGGGAGAATATATTTATACTCTGAAATATATCCAAGTATACATGTGCAATACATCTTATAAAAACTTAGCTTTCAATAAAAGTAATGCAGAAATTTCTCATATTTAAAGTATCAGCTTTCCAGAAGGATGCACTTCCTGGAAATTCTGGAAAGCTGATATTTTAAGTTCAACTTGAATCTGAAAATATGAGAGTTCACCTTTACATGTCTGTATTAGTACAAGGAACAGAGTTTCATGATCCTGCTCGGTAAATCACCAACACCAAAAGCACTGCTGTCTAATCAAGGGGGATATGTCAAAGTTTAAAGCTCTTAATGAAAAACAGTACGTCATTGAACCATCTTACCTGTCGACGAATTACTTCAAGGTCTCTCTTGGCTTTATTCACTAGGGTTTGAATTTCTACAGGATCCTTCACATTTTTATTTTCTCTGAAGGCATCTCTTATCCTCCTGACAGCATATGTTCTAAATGAATTCAGAGGAAAAAACAGAAAAGGTGTCAGTGTGTCTGAGACTATGCTTTCAAATGAATTTAAAAGCTTTTCCTTTAGAATTAACTGTCTAATCTTCCCCTATGGATAATCCACTTTGATCTCTGCTTGTGGCGCAGGCAGATCCATTACCATTCTGGGATGACTAAGCAAACAGATTTAGGAAAATAAATCTACTCTCAACAAGCCACATACAAATGGCAAACTGCTACTGAAGAGTTCCTTAGATTATTGGTTCTTTAGCATTATTCACATCTGGCTTCACTTCATTTACATGGATAATTGAACCTTTAGTTCAATTATCCATGTAAATTTAGTGTACAGACATAAATCAAGAATTCAGAGGTTATCTGCAGTGATCCATGATTGTGCTACTGCACTCCAGCCTGGGCGACAATGCAAGACCCTGTCTTTAAAAAAGGAAGAAAAAAATTCAGAGGTTAAATGATGATCACATTTGCATGTACCCAGATAGTGACCTATGCTTTCCAATCCCTGTCCCATCTTCTGGCTCTCACTTCCCTTTCTGTGGTCCACATTAGGATCCCACCACAGTTGAACCTGTGGAATTAGGCCAACATGCTTTCTTTTCCTCCATCTTGAAAGTGCACACACCTACCACCCACCCCCAAGCAGACAGATGACTTGCAGTACAGGACAGCAGTTCCACAGCAAGGCTTGTGGATCAGACAGGCTTGGGTTTGTAGCCTTGCTCCAGCTCCTACTGTTTGTGTGAACTTGGGCAAGCTTTTTAACAAAAGGCCATGTCTCCTTATCTGTCAAAAAGGCATAATAATGCTAAGTGCTGTTGGGAGGATTTGGCTTTATAACATGGGTCTGGAATTTGGCCCAAAGCCTGTTATATAGAAAGACTCAATAAATGAAAGCTATTCTTAACACTTGTTATGCCTTAATGCAAATTAGTATTCCCTCTCCTCATGCCATAACCTTGCCTTCCTTAGTCCTGCATCTTTACAGTCACACCACAGTGTGTGTACAGAAGGTAGAGTGGTCTGGATAATTAGCCACAACAGACAACTCGGCAGTCCTTAGACATAGTCCCACACTCAGATGGCTATGGTCTATCTCTAGCTCCACCCCATCTACTCCAGAATGAAAGGCACAAGACTAAGGAGAAGCAGACTGAGTCAGACATGTGAGACACCATTCTCTCTATTTTTTTTTCTTTTTTAGAGATGGGGTGTCCCTCTGTTGCACAGGCAGTGTCATGATCATAACTCACTACAATCACAAACCCCTGGGCTCAAGTGATCCTCCCGCCTCAGCCTCCACAGTGGCTAGGATTATAGGCACCCACCACCACGCCTGGCTAATTTAAAAAAATTTTGGGGGGGATGGGGACTTGCTGTGTTGCCCAGGCTGGTCTTAAACTCCTGGGCTCAAGCTACCCTGCTGCCTTAGCATCTCAAGGAACTAGGATTACAAGTACACGCCATAGTGCCTGGCTCTCCAGTCTTAATGATCACAGACTGCTCTGCTTTTAACCTTGAGCACCGGTTAAAGAATCCATGTAATGCCGGTGGTAATATTGAGCAATAGAAGAATGGAAATATAGGCAAAGAAATGAGAGGAAGGGAATATCAATTTCCTTGGGAGCAGCGGTGAGCGGGTGTTGGGAGCTCATACAACTTATTGGGAAACTTTATCTTAAAAAGGACAAATTTTGTTTTAGATCAAGTTTTTTTAAAGTAAAAAGGCATTTTACATTAAAAAATTCAAATGTCAGGTCTATTTGCATTTAAAAGCAAGAGTAAAACTAAATCTTATACTATTAGGAATCATAAAGGAGAAGGGAAGAGTTTAGGAACTGGTACTTTCAGAACGTAAGACACTGCTGAGACTTTGATCTTAACCCTCTGTGAACCAGCTGGAGTATTTCAGAGGAGCTGCTGGGTGCTCAGTATCAATCCTAAAGGGCTACAGCGATTGAGCATGGAATCCACGTACTAGCAGCTGCTACATAACTGGGGCTCATTCACTTCTAAAGGGATATGGGAGGATTTTACAAATAGAATACATCAGATACAGACTCTCCTCAGGTGCAGCTGCTAATCTAACAAGATTTTAGATGGCAGCTAGGTAAATTAACAGCAATTTCTGGCACACTTTCTTGCATTGCCTAATGGCTATTTATATAACACAGTATCACTGTTCTTCTTGACACCCACACACGCCTCTAAAGCAGTTTCTTTTTTGGCAATGATGGCAGCAAAGAGGGGACAAAATAATTTAATTCTAATATTTGTTCCATAGGCAAAATTGGTTTACAACATGAATTTACCTCCAGGAATCATCTATTGTTTCAATTTTTCATTTCGTATGCTGCATGGGCTTCTTGGACAAACAAAATGGGCAACAGTAGTCATTGCTAAACTCATTTTTCTAAAAGCTAGTAACTACCTTAGAATAGCTAGGAAAAAAGGAGTACTGTTTGGAATGTAAAGACCTAAGGTCTTCCAAAGTTTAAGGAAATGAGAAAACAGCTTAAAACACTCAACAATTTATATCAACTGAGCTCAAGGTCCAGGGTCCGGATATTCTGCTATGTATTCTTGTTGGTCTCCCCAGCTCTCCAGAGTCCTTACCTAAAGAAAAGAAGCTCTAGATCTTGGACTTCAATGTGTCTAAAGCAATCAAGAGACATGATTCAAATTTTCGATGCACTTTTGAGATGAATGCTGTAATGGTTCCCTCCTCTCTGTCTTGCTCTTTCTGCCCCACTTACAGCACCAAGTGTTATTCTCTGCCCTGAGGGAAAATATTTCACTGGCTCAGAAACGCAAAACTCCTACTGCATGAACAGTTGATTCTTTAGTTGTAAGAATTCTTATTTCAAATGATCACAGCTTTGTGAAAGTCATCACAAATTTGAGTGAATCTTCAAATTTGGTGGGGGGGCTAATCATCAATTATTTCAATCCTGGCCCTGCCCTGGGTTTTACCATTTTTTTTTTCTTTTTTCTTTTTTTTTTTTTTTTGTGCAGATTCTGGCTATCAGCCTCTTGACCATACCACTGAGAAAGAACATTTCAAAGAAAAATTTGCAGATGTTGCAGTGAAAATGGCAGCTAGCTGTTACACAATGCCATGCATTAGGATGATCCTAAGTCAGGCGCTGTCTGAAATACAGCATGAAAAACTAACACACAAAGGGCAACACAACCAAATACAAAGAAGCAGCCCCACATCCACAGAAACGGCGAGGTGATGATGTTCTCACACACACTGTCCTTTCCACTGTCCTGAAGCTTGGCAGTTTCTTGATGCTTCTTTGCGCAGGAGACTCCCATTGGGCTTTCTTTCTCCACCCCAGCCTTTGCTTCATTCTGTCATTAGATCTCAAGTGCCCACAGGTTCTTTTTACCATTGCAAGCATTATATACTCTTTTCTGAGATTCCTCCACTCACTCCAATTTCCCAGCTGCACAGCAACACAGCAGGCAGTAACGAAAGCTCATTAGTGTTTGAGGTTCTGCTTTACTCTGTCCCCTCAGAGAAACACCAAATGCAGCCATAATCACAGCCTCTGAGCACTTAGAGGCTCCTATCAGCTTTAGCATCCAATGTGTGATGTGGAAACTAGCTAATGTAATGCCTTTCATTTCTGTCATCTTCGTCAGCATCTCAAGTGCTGGTTTCTCTGTGTACCCATCCTATAAACACGTCGTGCCTTTTCTTGGTCCTCTGCAACCTTAACTCAAGTATCCTAGGAACAATAAAAAGCTCAGTCCTTTCTACTGGCCTCTGTGGGGCAAACTCATCTACCTCCGACGACTTGGAAGGACACATCCTCCACCTACTTGCCTTAACTGAAATGTGCAAGGGGAAGCTGCTAAATTCTAGCATGTCCCCATATTCCACAGGGCCCAGAGGAGGGTGCTGGTGTATTCCGGGAGCTTGCTGCTGCTTCCAGATCACTGATTCACCCCTATGCATCTTTGAGGCCATGCCATCTGACAATACTGTGTTGCACGCCTCCATGACATTGTTACTTGTTAATTTCTGGAGGTCAAGTCTTCATATTCAAGTCTTAATGTCTAAAGAGCACTCATTGCAATACACAGGCCATCAGTTTTAGCTTTCTTTTTTTAGAGACAGGGTTTCACTGCCACCCAGGCTGAAGTGCAATGGCGCTATTATAGCTCTCTGTAGCCTCAAACTCCTGGGCTCAAATGACCGTTTCCGCCTCACCCTCCCAAGTAGCTGGGAATAGAGCAGCTCGCCACCACGACCCGCTAATTTTTATTTTGTAGAGACAGGGTGTCACTATGCTGCCCAGGCTGGTCTCAAACTCCTGACTTCCAGGGAGCCTCTCGCTTTGGCCTCTCAAAGTGTGGGGATTACAGGTGTGGGCCACGGTGTCTGGCATAGCTCCTCCTTCCTAAGCTCCTTGGTGGGCTCGCCTCATTCTGCTGCCCTTTATACGCTGTGTTCTCTAGGGCACATATGTGAACCACTTTTCTTATTTATAAGATCTCTGCCAGTAATTGCACCTGTCAAAGGCTTCACCTGCCATATAGATGCCATTGGCTACCAGTATTTCTCTAGTCCAGACCTTCCTTCTGAGGTCAAAATCCATATACCCAATTGCCTTTTGGACTTGTCAACTAAAATATAGACTCTTCCAGTGAACACATTCAAAACTGAAGTGCCCGGCTGGGCGAGGTGGCTCATGCCTGTAATCCCAGCACTTTGGGAGGTTGAGGTGGGCAGATCACATGGTCAGGAGTTCGAGAACAGCCTGGCCAACATGGTGAAACCCCATCTCTACTGAAAATATAAAAATTAGCCGGGCATGGTGGCGCATGTTTGTAATCCCAGCTACTCGGGAGGCTGAGACAGGAGAACTGCTTGAACCTGGAGGCAGAAATTGCAGTGAGCCAAGACCATGCCATTGCACTCCA